TTCTGTGTCTCCCTCTCTCTCTGCCCCTCCCCTGCTTGCACTCTGTCTCTCTCTCTCTCCCCCTCTCAAAAATAAATAAATACAGGGGCACCTGGGTAGCTCAGTCGGTTGGGCGTCCAACTTTGGTTCAGGTTATGATCTCGCGGTCCGTGAGTTCGAGCCCCGCGTCAGGCTCTGGGCTGATGGCTCGGAGCCTGGAGCCTGCTTCCGACTCTGTGACTCCCTCTCTCTCTGCCCCTCCCCCCTTCATGCTCTGTCTCTCTCTGTCCCAAAAATAAATAAACGTTGAAAAAAAAAAATTAAAAAAAAAAAACCACTGAGATTTAACCATTTATTTGGGTCTTCATTTCCTTACGAGGGCTCCTGTGCCACATAAATCTCATATTAAATACACGTTCATGCTTTCCTGTCCTTCACCTGTCCTGTGTTACAGGTCCCAGGGGAGAACTTAGCAGGGCAGAGGGAAGAAATGTGCTTCATTCCTTACACAGCTTTCTGGCCTCCTTGTGAGGGATTGATTACGTTTCCTTTGTTTTAAGACACTGAGAGTGTGTCCTTTGTGACAACAGAAGCTGATACAGGAGGGAAGTTGGAGATGCCCTCTCCAGGAGCAATGCAGAGAAACACAGAGAACAACCCTCACTCTCCAGACCCTTCTTGGCTCTCTCTTTTTCCCCCACACACCACACCCATTACCTCAGAAACAAAATCCTGTTTGTTTTATCCTCATAATGTGTCCAAAATAAATGCCCACTCTTTTTGCTTCGAGCCAACATCACTTCCTGTCTTCAATAGGCATCATTTCCCTTCCCCATCTCTGTTGTGCTGTCATGGACCCATTCAGGCCAGTCCTGAGCAGAGCAGCCACAGGGATCCTATTAAAAGGAAAGTTCTATCATATCTCTGCTCTCCTCAAAGGCTTCAGATTGTTGCATTTTCAGCAAGGCTCACATGGTCTGCACCCCCACTGGGTGTCCACCCCCTCTGGGTCTCTTCCCCTATGAGGTCTGCACACCCACGGGGTCTGCACCATCCTCCCAGCATCCCCACCTGACGCTCCTGTGCTCTCAATCTTGGCCACTTGTTTCCAGTGAAACACCAAGCCAGCTCCCACGTCAGAGCTCTTACACTCACTGTGCCTTCTTTTCCATTTTCTTGGAGTAATTTTCTCTTAAGCAAACAGAACCTGCCTTGTCACTGCCTCAAGTCTTTGCTCAAATGTCACCTCCTCCTACTCTCAGTTGTAGAACATGCTCCCCAATATGTCACGTGCCACTCAGTCTACATGGCTTCTCTCCAAAAACATTTTCTACCCAGTGTGCTCTGTATTATTTCCTCTTTATTTCTTTTGATTTATATCCTTCTTGACTACAGAATGACATCTTCTTGATTATAATGATTTTTTTTTGCTATGTTCACAGATGCACCCTGACACCTACAAGGTGGTGTGTCAATAGTACTTGTTGAAGGAGTCTGTAAATAGCTGAATATTACTTCACTCAAAACCATATGAGACTCTCACTCTCACACACACACTTGTGCATACACACAGCTGGGTGGCATTTACTATTGAGCCTGAAGGTAACCAGGACTTGGAGATGTAGGAATGGGGAAAGTCTCATGCAAAGTCTTATAGTCAAAAGATCTCTAACATGGCTGGGTGTGGAGAAGTTGCAAGATGCAGGGAGAGGTAGGGATCTGGGTGGGGAGCCCAGAAGGGAACAGACCATGCCAGGTCTTCGAATCTAGCCTGTTTGCACCTCGGTCTTGGCCATGGAGAGGAATTGTAGCTCTTCATACTGTGGAGGAAGTGGACAATAATGGCGTCCTGAGGGGCGCCTGGGTGGCTCATTCGGTTAAGCGGCCGACTTCGGCTCAGGTCATGATCTCGTGGTCCGTGAGTTCAAGCCCTGCATTGGGCTCTGTGCTGACAGCTCAGAGCCTGGAGCCTGTTTCAGATTCTGTGTCTCCCTCTCTCTGACCCTCCCCTGTTCATGCTCTGTCTCTCTCTGTCTCAATAAATAAACATTTAAAATAATAATAATAATAATAATGGCATCCTGAGACTCCTTCTGGAGGCCTGTGTTGAGGA